GGACACTATTTGAAATGACAAGACTGCATGGGGACCAACAATCTCCATTTCATCACTCCCTAAACTAGAAATGTTTTCAACAGTCAAGATACCAGGAATCTAATAAGCATTTACAGATAAATGTATGGGTCAAAGGATGATCTCCAAGGAAATATCAGAGAAAGGAGACCTTCTTGTGAAGTTGTTTTGGGGAGGGAGTGTAAGGTAATATATATTTAATTCACAAGTAAAAAGGCAACTGTGGTGATATTAATTAAAAGCCCAATTCCTGCAAAGCACTAGAATTTCCACCTAATACAATTCTCTACTTCCCAAATTAAAAACACGTGTAAACAGACACAATGTGCTGTGATCAGATGACAAGACCCTGTCCCCAAGCCACGTGATGTTCACAGATGTTCCAAACTCTTTGTAGGGTAAACTTCACATAAACAATGTAGATATTTTCATACATACATAAAGTACAAAACTGTTGATACAATTAATAAGTCAGTAAGAGCTAATCCAAATATGAAAAGCATCTATCTCTTACATCAAAGTCCTCTGCTGCTGGAACAGTGCGCGAGGGTCTTAGGAGTGATTTTCAGAATTGTGTGTGTAAGTGCAGGCGTGAGCTAACAAAGGTAACCATCTAGAATCAGTGAGATCTACTTCATTTAGGTTACAGTACTCCTTTCTGGCTCAAAGCCTACTTTAAAGGGTAGATCCTATGGTCCACCCAGAGGCTTCATAGATGCCACCCAGTACTGAAGCTGAAATTGCCCTCTGTGACAGTAACTAGTCCACTTTTGCTGTGACAGTGAAATAAAAATCATGTTTTTCCACTTCAGGTTTTAATAATTACAATCCATCTTTGATGTGCAGTTAGCTTTCAAGACATAAATGTCTTGCATATTTCATAAAGAAGCTATATTTAGGTGAGCAATGTGGGTTAAGCACGGAAGACCCATATAAGAGAATGTTTTGAACCAAGAAAAGTGCATTTTCCTCTGCATTAAAATGCAGTATCAGAACCAAATGTACGGGACATGGAGGAAAGTGTTTACCTTGATCACTTCAGGGTACTGCCTAAGCTTCTTTCCACACGGAGCGTAATATGCCACTTCTCCTTGAAGGCGCCCACCAAAGTTTCTTACTCTTGTCTCTCTCTGCCAGCTACATATAACAGAAGTGAGCATTACAGGGCACTTGATTTTATTAAAAAAACTTAAAAAGTTGGAAAAAGTACACATGCTCTTCAGAAAAGATTAAAAAATAAACATGTAATCATATAATCCAAATATACTTATTACTAAAATGATTTAGATTTTTAGCTAACTGATTCATCTAGAAAATTAAAGACTTGGGAACATTAAAGTATCAAGTTTTACAGAAATCACAGCTGGAATTACATTGAGGGCTTACACGTTTGAGTAACTCATCAGTGCACATGGTTAATCTTGCAATAGCAGAAAGCCCCACATGAAGAACACACAAATGCCTCTCTATGTCTGGGGCCCTGAAACCCAGTTTGAACTGGTACCTATAACTGAAATCAGTTAAACCAATCTCTCCTTGAGTACTCTGGCCTTAACCCACGACATCTTCCACTGTCCTTTGCTTCTGTCTTGGCAAAGCCTTCTGACAGTATTGTTCCGGCTCCTTGACATGTGACTGGCTGTTGGTTCATTCCAGTAACACGAGCCCATCAAACACTGCAATACCTTCCTTCCCTTCATGTGAAATTAGGTGTATTTTCAGTTTTCTGCTGAATCAACATATTGCCCCTTGTTACGGCTTTTCTGTTCTAATCACTAATTTTGTAGAGAGGAGAGAATAGGAACTCAAGCACACATGAAACATGCATGAACATGGAGGAGGGCCTTGTGTGGCATACCCGTATTCCAGAGGCACACGCAGCTCGCGTTCATCGGTCACTCTTCTTCTCTTGGATGGACCTTAAAGAGAAGCCAACCAGCACATGAAATATAAAAATGTACACATGAGAGTTTCCTTATAGTTCAGAAATTTCTCTTTGAAAATAATTACATGACAGATTATTAGTATATTTATGAAAACTGCATTATTTCTAATTTTTTAAACAAAGCATAGTACATAAGACAGAAGTGTTTCACTCTTGTGACCTAATGACAGACAGTAAGCATTCTCTTGAACAGAACAGCGCATAGCTTTGCTCCTGTCATGAGTAGAAGCAACAATCAGGAAGGAAACAGCTGAAAGGGTTCAAAAACCAATTCATTCTCTGCTTTGAAAGTCTAGGTTTTTAGATAGATGCTACAAATTCTAACGGTTGGCTCAAATACTGAAAGAGAATTTAATTTCTGTGTGCATATGGATATCCATAGCCCAAAACATTACTAGGCCTTTAATTAATCATAACTCCACAAAAGAGGACTGTGCTTATATGTATATTTTTAAGACAATTACACATAAATATAAAATTAGTCGGACACCATGCTTATTTGTTGAAATAAAAATTTAGAAAGTGCCAATGAAAGTAAACTAATTAGAACAACAGCCAAATATTGTACTATATAAACCTGTATTTTCTTAGTTATTGAATGAGAATAGTAGCTTTGGACTGTTAAATGGAGGATCTTTTAAAATGAAAATGCCTAGGCATTTACAAAAATACATAAAAATATAGCATGATATGGACTAAGAATGCAACCCATCCAAAAAAAAAAAAAAAAAGAAAAAAACAGAAACAAAACCAAAAAGGATTCAAAAGCAAGAGGGATCATCAATTAAAAACCATAGGGGAAAAAATTAAAGTATCAGGCAATAGATTAAGTCTTTTTAAAATACATGTTTCTTACTTAGGCAATCTAAAACCTACACGCAATACTGGATTACGAGATCTCCTGAAAACTGTGTAACTAGCAATCTTTGCTGCAGTCTGACTTGACTTTACATCGATAAAAATAAACTGTAGGTACCAGAGTGTGGACTTGAAGTGAGTGTGGAAGAAGAAGTGCCAAGAAAAGCAGGAGACTGGGACTCAGAGCACAGGGCGGCAGGAGCGGAGCCCGGGGCGCCTCCTGTGTGGAGGCTGTGAGGTGTGGAGTGAGCTGTGAGATTGATGGGAGGGCTTTTGGCAGAGGAGCTTGTCTGGTTCAGGTTCGTGGCAGTTTTCTCTCCTTCAGTGTCACTATCTGATTCCTCCTGGTCTTTCTCATCGTCGTCTTCTGAGCCTTCTGTATCTGAGTCTGAATTACTATCTGATTCTGGGAAGTAAAGAAGCACTTGGATATTATAACTAAGTCACAACCAATCACTTGCAGCTTGCACCTAAAGGGAGTAGTTCAGAACTGGTATTTGCAACTGAGAATTCAAGGAAGCAATTTCCCAAGACTAAGAGCAAATGTTAAAATTAGCATCTTATAAGCTATTTGAATCAAGTGTATGAAGACGATGGTTCTGCAAACTTCTCTTAAAAGGATCAGTTTTACTTGCTATCTGAATCACCAAATAGTTCCCACTTGACACTATTCACATTGCAGTTCAGCTTAATGCTTTCAACATTAATTTCAACAGCAAATCTTAGGTAAAATAAGGAGATATTGTTGAGCAAACAAACTGACAGGTGCCAGTGTCTGCAGATTCCCCTGTGCTAAACTCACTACCTAGGAACAAGCATCAGTCTGGCATTTGCGATTTGGCACAAAAGAACACAATTTTTAGGGAGGGGTTTTGGTTTGATGTTCTGCTTTTATAGCTGTAGTTCAAGTTATATAAAGACACCACCGGGCTTCTCACGATTCACAAACTATGCTCACAGAAAGAACTGGCTGGAGTGAAGTCCAATGTTAACACATGTTAGTAATACTCCTCTAGACATGTAACATCCAAGAATGGATTAAACTCCAGATAGACACATACATAAAGATGTGCACACAGGACAGCATCCAGATAGCCATCCTAGCAATGTTCTACCTGCACTAGAGACTTCCATAAAACCTAGTTTTTGAAAGCTCAGACTACAGACAGTCAGCACTTTCAGGATTAATATTATTAGGACATTAAATCGTACAATGACTATTTTCCTATTCATACGGGTTACTGAAAAATTTCTGGCTGAGCAGTAACAAATCCACATAGAAACATATACACAAATATATTTATGTAATCTCCATTTAAATGTTCAGTTGTCTTGCATTTTATGTGTTTAAAAGAACTCTTAAAAGGAAGAAACAAAGAAAGAAAATATTAGAGTAAATGCAGATTTATTTAATCAAGGCTTAACTTAATGACCCCATATTACCTAGTAAATTCTGTTATCAAAAATTACTTAATGTTTTGGTTCTTTTTGAATGACCATGGTAATATCCAGTAATGTTTTAATACTTTGCAGGAGAAAATAAAATACATTAAAGAATATTTGGACAGCAAAACTTGGCCTTGATATGGATAAAAGACAAACTTTTTAGTTGGGGAGAAGGGAAGGGGTATAATGAGGGAAGAGAAAGGGACAGGGTGACTATATTCAAAACATACTGAATGAAATTCTCAAGGAACGAATGATCCTCCCTCCCCGAGACAGGGTTCCTCTATATAGCAGTGGCTCTATAGACCAGGCTTGCCTCAAATGCAAAGGGCCACCTGCCTCTGCCCCGCTCCTCTGGGATGAAAGTCATATACCACTATGTTTGGCTCAAGATTATTATTACTGTTCTTCTTGTTGTTGTTGTTGTTATTATTATGGTTTTTAAAAGAGTTTCTCTGTGTTGAACTCAAGAGATCTGTCTGCTTCTATACCCCCATGGTGTTAAAGGCATATGCCACCACCACCTGGCCAAAACTGATTTTTAAAGCGAAAAACAATTGTACGTGGATAAGTGGTTCTGAATGAAATGCAAATTTAGCAAACTGATAAAACTGTTTGATTCATGCATCATCATACCCACTTTAAAATTAGTCATTTCAATCCAGGTGAATGACAAGCCAAGATTTAACTTAGAATTCCAATATCAATCACTTTTATATTTTATCAACTATAAGAAATAGTGAATGACAATGATTTCAGGGTTATAAATTAACATTTTTTCAAATGTTTTGGCATATACTTAGAAATAAACTTTAAATTTTAAAACGGAAAATAACCTGATTGACTGTCATCAGACTCATCATCATCATCTTCCTCCTCTTCATCTTCTTCCTCATCATCTTCCTCCTCATCTTCATTTGAATCTTCAGAGTCTTTACTACTGGGAATGTCGGAATCCGCACCTCTAAACTGTTCCACCAAAGACTTTGCGGGATGAGGGTGATGCTGTGTTTTCAATGGTGTGACATTATTGCTCACCACTTTCTCCTTCCCGTGGCTGTGCACGATGGGAGAGGCAGAGGGCAGGACAGGAGTCTGATTGCCGGGTCTTCTCCCACCTGTGCTCAGGTTGACAGGTGAGGAGAATGGGCTGCTACTGGCGACGTTTTCGTTAATCTTACTCTGCATTTTAGTTTTGGTAGTAAGTGCTAAAGGAGCTTCTTGAATGACACTTTGAATGACCCCATTTGGTTGGTGACTACCTAAAAGTGCGTTTGTCAGAAATGGATTAGGGTGGTTGTTCTCTACTGGTTGTTTTGGATGTGCTGGTGAACTAGAGGTTGCTTTTGTGTTTGACAAAGCTGCAATAACCTTCTTCAGGCTCTTCGACGACTCCTGTTTCTTTACTTGTGATGGGAATGTCTGCTTATATTGTTCCTAATGAAACACAAGTTAAAAAAAAGACAAAAAAAAAAAACAGTGAGATAGACTAGAAAACAAAGACTGCTTCTGTTTGTCAGTATCAGAATACGGGTTCATTGAGAAACTCAAAGAATGACATACAAGGGGCTGGAGAAGGAGTGTCAGCAAGGACAACTGGCTGCTGAATCTTGGCTAGACATGATATGGTCACACTTATTTGTTTAAACACTCAAAAGGCACTGTCCTTTCTCTTTACTGTGACTCCCATTTTCATAATAATCCAATCCTTAAGTCCTAAAAATACTCCCAAACTAGTCTCTTACCATGTGTTTAGGTTCATTCATTAAAAAATGCTAAATCTTGGGCCATGCTCTTACTTCCTCTTTCCCAACTACCAACAAATGTTTTTATAAGAACACAAACTTCATGTTACATGAGTTTTCTTTTCTTTGATTCTGGGACCATTGTCAACCTTATGCATCCAGTAACATGCAAATCACTTCATAATTCACCCAGAGCCTACCTTTCTAGCTGAAGCAGACTGCTAAGCGTGACAGTACCGTGTCACACTTTTCCTCCTCCCTCAGTTGGCTAAAATCACTTGTCTACATGAACTGTTTCTGACAGGTGAACCACTGCTCACACTTCTCTAACTCAGCAGCTTTCCACGTGTGTTTCAGTCCTAGAACTCCTTCCTCCACCCTGGAGTCATCCACCCGGCTGATAGCCAACAACATTCTAGCTGGGTTTTTTGTTTTTCCTCTTTTTTGAAAAAGAATACCTACCATTCGAATAGCTAGGCTGGCAATGAACTCCTGATCTTTCTGCTCTAATTCCATTAGATTACAGCATGCAGAACAAACATGTGATTCTATAATTTTGTTTGATTATACGGGTCTGTATGTATAATGCTTTAAGGAGCTAAGGTTCCATTTCCAAAAATTTCTGTAGCAGAAACTGTCATGTATGGTCTTCCTAACACATCATCTACCCTGTACTTGAACTCACCGGAGACTAATACTAGATTACCAAGTGACTTCTTGAGGAAGAAAGTCTTCTGGTTGTTTACTTCTTGTCTTTTTAGCTAGAATCTCATTCAATGGTCCAGATAACCCTGGGACTCACTGATACCCAAAAGCCCTCCAGTTCACTGTGATTCTCTTGTTTCGGTCTCAGCTGGCATTACAGGCACAAGTCATCATATCCAGATAGAAAAGATTTTCAAAGAAAAATTTTAAGATATAGGGAAACCAATGGGGAGCTGGGTGCTAGGCTTAGCAGCTGTGTACTTACAGAAGGCCATGGGTTCAATACCCAGCATGAGAGGAAAACAAACTTTCAGACAAATAGAAGTAATCATATAATAAACCTTCTACTAAGTAATATATGTTTGCTTCTAATAATGGAGCGAATGCTTCCATTAAAGTAAAAGTTTTCACTGCACATTGGTATTAATTATCAACAACTACTCCTGCCTTTAACTCTAAGAATTTCATACCATACATTTATACCCACACTTGCATTTTATTGCATTTTTATTTCATGGCAAGACAGGTAATCCTAAGTCTATACACACTATCCATTTTGATGTTAGGGAAAGTGTCTAAATATAGTGTTTACAAGTAGAAAATCTATTGCTGTTTTACAGCATCAACTACCCATGCGCCAGTGGGTGGGAATCTCAATGTATTTTCACTTATCTCATTTTCTGCAAATGCAAGAATATACTCCAGATTTGACGTGACTGACATAGATCTATGAAACTCTACTCCTGGAATATATATATCAATCATACCTACTAACTTAAATTATAAGTTCATGGTGTAAACACTGAAGGAATCAATGATAACATAAATCAGAAATTCATAAGCTAAGGACAAGACCAGTGGATTAATAGCAGGTAGTGTAGAGCAAAAGAGATTGTCTTAAAAACAAAATTCAATATGCCAGAGTACTCTACAGAAAATAATTTAAAGAGAGACACTCATTAAATAGTCTATAATATTAAATAAGGCATATAGATAATATCATTTAGAATTGAGTCTAATACAAATGTATATTCACAGGCCTGGAGACATAGTTAAGAGATGGCTCAGTGGTCCTCTTCCAGAAAACCCAGGTTTGGTTCCCAGCATCCACATGCAGCATGCAATCATCTGTAACTCCAGTTCCAGATGACTGGATGCCGCTGTAAGCACCAGGCGCGCGCGCGCACACACACACACACACACACACACACACACACACACACACACATCCATATACATTAAAGAAATGTCTGTTCACATAAAATACCTACAATTCTTATCATTTCAATAACTTACTCATAGAATGATCTCTAGACAGTAAGAACATTAAAACTTTTCATTAGAATGCACACATACTCTAAAGACATACAAAAATGGTTGTTTTGGGCTTTAGAGCACACAGAAATATAGGCATTTGCTGCTACTGTGCTCAAAACAGATTTTTTTTTTCATAAAAGACTTCTACACTTAAATTCTAAGAGTAAAGGTAAATTACATAAAAGTTAATTTCATCAACAGGTAAATAATATTAAAATAAATCATTATTTTAAAAAAGTAATTATAAAACTTATCTTATTCAACTATAATATATTCTTACTGCCAAAGCAGTAGAGGAGGGGTGGGAGGGGATGGTATACGCAATAGTTTTGTCAGAAACATATGAAACTGGGGAGTCTATGACTATAAAATCAGAAAACACATTTTTGGGGGATGCTGGGAACTGTACCAGATCTTACTCTAACTCTGGGCTACACAGAATAAAATCTTTTTTTCCTCTCCTGGAGTTTAGGATCAAACCCAGTTGCTATGCTCCATATTTGAGAAGGCGGTACAAATTAAGCTATTTCTTAGCCCCATTTGTAACAAAACCTTAGCAGTAATATTCCTGTGTATATAATATTTAGCTTACCCGTTTGGATCGCAACTCACTGGTCAAAGAACTAGATTCTTCAGAGGTATTTTTAGTCCCTGCTTTAAGTACATCAGGAGAAGGAACTATGAGTTTCCTGTAAGGTTCCTTTTTGGTTTGATTTACCAAAGACAAAGGTTTCACATTGGCCACCAATCCCGTAGACTGTATTACACTGGTGTGTTTGTTCACAGATTCCTCCTTTGCCTGAGAGCTTTGGAAAATAAATGGAAGCTGCTGTGACAAAACCTGAGGCTGCTTCTGCTGGGATTGGAATGATGAGTGAGTCTGGGATTCAGACACAAGAGGTAATGGCTGGTGTATTCTTTTTTCCTGGGCTTTTTCAGTTGCTTTCTGTCCATCTGCTTTTGGATCTGAAATACCATGTAATAGCACCTGGAAACACAAGGTGAAAGGCAGTTATCTTGATATCCATGAAAAGCAGCAAGTGGGATAACTTGGAGAAAGAGAGTATTTTACAAGGCACTGTTGATCCCTTAGAGACACAGCACAGGGCTCCCTGAAACAGATCCAGGCTCATGGAAACAGTACCTGGGTGTCGCTGTGGTGTTGTGCTTCAGTCTCGGAGTCCGAGTCCTCTTCACTCTCCTCGATACTCTGACCTTCTTCTTCTTCCTCTTCCAGATCGTCTGAGTCGCTACTACTAATGCCTTCACTTGAGGTGTCTGACGATGTGCCCGAATCACTATCACTGTTGCTAGAACTTTCCATAGCTTTCTTCCTCGGTTTCTGGAGACAGAGGCATTATTTGGTAAACTATCCTTTGAAGGAATCCAGGATTCAGTAAAGTCACACTCTTAATTTTCAAGTGATATCTTCAACTTCAAAACATCATTTTAGGAAAGAGAAATAATTTATCATAAGTGATATTATTAACTAATTTATGTAGCAGGAAATCATCAATAGAAATTCTAAGATCTGACATGGTTATTACTTAATGCATTTCCCATTAAACTGTTTAGAAAAAAATGATCTAAAATATTATTATGTGGTGGGACAGCTTTTGTAATATTAAAAATTCCTATATTCTTCTATTTAAAATGATTACAAATAATTCTATTACGTTGCTTGATGTGTAAACTGTATTCCTTTGCATAGAGCATAAAATGACAGTTCCATGTAAAACAGTTAAAATACAAATATCACACATATGTAGATTCATCTACATCACAATGCTTCAAATAGTGCAAAATTAAAAATTGAATCAAAAATTCCAAAATAATTACACAGATTTAGAGTGTCTTTATCTATACAGTTTTTATCGTTTAAACATTTCCCTAAGATGTTCCAAACAGCCTTTAAGGGACCTAGGAGAACCTTGTGCCACAGTGAATTGTTGCCCAGGAAACTCTAGATTGAGTAATGGTGGAGAGAGGAGGGAACATATTCTAAATACAAAAAGCATTTATCCAGTATTGAATGACACATGGAAGGCACAGTAGACAGCAAGAGATTTATGGAGCTATGTCAAAAAAAGTAATCCTGGCCGGACGTGGGGGAGCATGACTATAATCACAACATATGGAAGACAGAGGCAGGTGGATCTATGAGTTTGAGGCTAGCCTGGTCTATAAAGCTAGTTTCTGGATAGCCAAAGATATACAGAGAAACCCTGTCTGGAAAAATAACAAAGAAGCACCCCCCCTCCAAAAAAAAAAAGGGAGAGAGAGTAAAGAAAAGAAATGTAATCCGTTAAAGAATATTTTACATAATATATTTACATACTATAGAGAGGCAGGCGTATTTCTATCAGTTTCAGACTGCCCTGGTCTACATAGTGAATCCTGTCCAGCCGGGGATACAGAGCGGTATCTTGCTTTTAACAAAATTATAAATTAATCACTCAATCACACAGGAGAAAAAAAAACAATTTTAGAATATTTAAGACGTTTTGGAAAAATATTGAATAACATAAAAAGCTGACAGAAAGGGACAATAGTTCATATTTTACAAGCAGTCTTTTTTTTTTTTTTTTTTTTTTTTTTTTTGGTTTTTCGAGACAGGGTTTGTCTGTGGCTTTGGAGCCTGTCCTGGAACTAGCTCTTGTAGACCAGGCTGGTCTCGAACTCACAGAGATCCGCCTGCCTCTGCCTCCCGAGTGCTGGGGTTAAAGGCATGCGCCACCATCGCCCGGCTACAAGCAGTCTTATGTTTAAGAAACAGCCAGAACGCTTGGAAGCCTGTAGTAAAGGATACTTTTCAAGACATGAAGGTGTAGTGGCACACACAATTCAAAGAGGTTGTGAGAACAGAAGACCTGAAGAGGAACAACCAACCAAAATCCCAGAGATGATGGGAAAGGGCCTCTGAAGACCAACATATAACTGAGAAGAAACTGGCAATTGATGGCAATTGAGAGAGAAAATTGCTTATCTTACAAATACAGGCAGTGAGGAGTTACTCATTCTCCAACGGATGGTTCTACACCCATGTACATACAGGCAACAATAAATCTACTCAGCGGGTAATGAGAGGGAGAGGGACGAAAGAGCACATACAAAGTAGAGTACACATCAGCAAGAACAAGAAGTTGGGAGGAAGGGGAATGTAGGAGAAAATGGAGGAGGAAGGAATGAAGAAAGTAGATTGTATATAATTCATACATATATAGGAATGTATGAATATGAGATAAACTATAAAACTCATTGTCAGTTTAATAGAATAGAATAGGCTGGAACAGACTGGACAGAATTGATCAAAGGGATTTTAGAGCCTGGTCCACAATTACAATGGAGTACCTGATTCAGAGAAGAGGATAATGTGGCCCTTAAAGGTAAGGTCAGTTCCACTGGAGGAATGGATCCAACATACAATAAATATTGAATCTCATGATGATACTTAGATAGGAGAGGTGATTTCCAGAGGTTTGAAGAAAATTCAACGGTGGCAACCAAGCTCACCTTAAAAGGGATTTTAAACAGTGTATTCCTAGAAACAATGTTTTTCTAAGAATAATCCATTCAGAACACCCCTCCCTTCAGGATTATGCAGAAGGTGGGGCAAAGACATGTATTAGACTAATGAATGTAGGTCAACCAGGAATCCATTGGGAAACTCCACGAGGGTCTTCTTGCAAGCCCCTTTGTCAAATCAAGTTCAGTCATTTCCTGCAATCACGGAGGAAACTCCTTCAAGAGCAATTGAAGAAGCTAATGCCTATTTTAAGAGATCATACGCTTTGAGTAATAAGAACAGTGACAGACGGGAGAAAAATATTCAGAATGTTGAAAGAAGTGAAGAAAAGTTGCCTGAAAAATTACAAAGAGGAGCCTCTACTAATTATTTAGGTTATAAAATAGTTTTACAAAAAATTAGATCCTGGGCGGTGGTGGCACACACCTTTAATCCCAGCACTTGGGAGGCAGAGGCAGGAGAATCTCTGTGAGTTCAAGACCAGCCTGGTCTACAAGAGCTAGTTCCAGGACAGGCTCCAAAACCACAGAGAAACCCTGTCTCAAAAAACCAAAACCAAACCAAAACAAAACAAAACAAAATAGGCCTGTACTAAAAAATAAGATCCCAAAAGGGGCAAATTAGGAAAGACTGACGACAGACTCTTGAGGATTTGCAAAGATTGCTGGGAGACATTTCACATATACTGTGCAATGTTGAGATAAAACATGAAGACCTGATTAATTTAAACTAAACACGAGATGGTGACAAGAACTTAAATAGTCCCAGGGAATTATCAGCTGAAGTAGAGAGAGAACTGACTTTATCAATCAAAATCAATCAAAAAGAGAGGCTTTGATTGAAGAGAAATTAGAGAAGGCACATGTGGATCATGTCGATCGGAATCTTAACTGCATTCTGGTCATATTACCCTCCAAATATTCCCTTATAGGAATTTTAATGCAGAAGGAAGATATTATCTTAGAATGGACCTTTTTACCATATTAAAAACTTATAAGAAAATGTTCTCTGAGATAATTCAAAAAGAAAAATTGAGACTTTGTCAATTAGCAGGAATAGACTCAGCAGAAATTATAGTACCTTTTAATAATGATGAAATTGACAAATTTGGAAAGAAAGCAAACATGGCAAAGAGTCTTATATTTCTCTCTAGTTAAGCATTTTTAAGTACACAGGTCAGTACTATTACACACACTCACAGTGACACATAGTTATCAAAATACATCTTCAAAACACTTTTATCTTGAGACACAGAAATACTAAACACATTATACACCAACTCCTGGGCTAGTGAGATGGTCAGGGGCTGACCTGAGCCTGACAACACACATTGAGGAAAGCGGGAAATGACTGTCCAAGTTATGCTCTGACATCCACATGTGTGCTGTGAAATGGGAACTAGCAGACATGTGCATGCACATAAATCTCTCTTAGAAGAACCGTATCACTTCTCTAACTAGAAAGAATAAGTAAACAAGAGTTCATATATTGAGACTCCACATTCAAATCTTTGGAGTACATACTGATAAATGGAATGACTGGATCATATTATAATTCTCTATTAATACTTTAAACTTAAGGGTTCACTGCATACTTTGTCCAGGGAAACTCTCATTTCATATTCCTTAAAATTTTCTTCAAACCATAAATAAGTAAAAAAGCAAATAAATAATTTTTAAAGATGGCATTGGCTACATGTAATATGTATATAAAATTACAAGAGCAGAATACTTTCAACCTTCAGTAGTTTTACTTTCCAAACAGGCTACATGTCTATCTATATACTCTAGTCTGAACTATTATCTAAGTGATACATAAGGAAATGTACTTATCAGTGATTCTAATGAGGAGGCCTGAGACCACTACTCCACCTCTGAGGAAGGACGTATAAATTATCTGGAAAAATTTATTTCAAACTATACAGAAAAGCACTAATGAGGCAATTTTTACAAAGCTTTTAGCCTTGAAAAATGAATAGTAAAAATACAGGATTGTATGTTCATTTTATTTAAGCAATCTGTAACCATAACACATGTTGGGATATGTATGACGCAAAATGTTTAAGATGATATGAAATTATAATTTTACATTATGATTAGATTCTAATTTAAGATTAAAATTTTGCTTAAGAGCCAGAGTCTGTAGACTATTACTTTTATTGAGTTGTTGGCATGCACAAATGTGGTACTGTATCTGCCCGTAGAGTTGACGAAAGAGGAATGTCTATAGTAGTTTTAATGTGGCTTCTGGGGAGAGAATGTAGTGAGGAGTGCTAATTCTGCTTGAGCATATCAGTGGAGGTTCCTCACTAAAAACATACGGAGGGCTGTTTGACGTTCATGCCTTTATGTCCACTGCATTGAACCTGCCGAACACTTTTGGTTGTACAACACTTTTGGTTGTACATTTCACTAGATATTTATCACTACTTCCATGAGGTAGGATGACAAAGTTTGAAAGAACAGACACATGGTTGTTAGAAATACAATACAGACACATATCCAATGACAGTGCACGAGGGTAGCTTCATACTTCATGAAGAGCAGGTGGTGTGTCACACACAGGGGAGCTAGCAGAAGCTTACACTGATGGGACTCCCTTGGAAACACATCCTAAGGGAGACCAGAGAGCAGCTGGAGAGCAGAAGGGGGAAAGGAGACCTAACACGGATCGCTGGGAGGAAAGAGCTAAGGATGTTTCATCACTCATGCTCAGTGGTGTTTGAAGCAGAAAGAAAATGTGCGGGGGCCTTGTACTGGACTGTTGAGACATTCAATAAGCTTCTTAGAGACACCAGGTAACTTCCCCCAACCTGTCTCTTCTATGGGTGTACTATATTTTGGGAAATATCTATTTTCTGCTGAGAAAAACAGAGATCAAGAAAAAATAGATAAAATGCATCTGAAGGTGTTGTGGATAAAGGAAACCTGGACTTAATGATGGTCACATTTTATGAAGTTGGGTTGTCAGGGTTTCTATTGTATCACATGAAAAAGAGAAGCCAAAACTTGAAAAGACTAGATTCTGGAGTGAATTTGCCATATAGTGCATACCCCTACATCTAGAACCAGTTCTTAAAAGATCTAGTCAGAAGGAAGAGTCTATATTAGCAGTCTGAACAAGAAAGGGTAACAGAGAATTATCAAGTAGCTAGGATTGCTGATATACACCAGCAACTTCAACCTGAAGGCAATGAGGCAGGAGGAGCTTATGTTTCACACCAGCCTGGCCTAAAAGGTGGACCTTGTCTCAAAACAAAACCACACTTTAAGAACTATTAGCTAGTAGAAGATACCTGCTAAAAATAATGAACAGCCCTCTCTAAATAATAAAGAAATCACAGATATAGCCATTCTTTCTGGAGGATGAAGGAAGAGGGCTTCTTTCTCATGATTCCCATTCACCTAAGGCTAAGCTAGAGATTTTATTGAAGAGAAGTGACTCTTGCCCACTGTATGGCAGAACTGTGGAATAAGGTACCATACAGTCCAAGGTCCTAGCACACGGGGAACACTGCCAGTTGGGGACCAGGAAAATTATCTAGCAAGGTACCCATTAATATTTCAGCAACTTGCTAAGATATATGATCACACTGTGAACCCCGAGTTTGCACTTGTACAACCATGGTCAGGAGGTAGAGCCAGCAACTAGTTGATAGGAAGTTCATGGGGAATCAGAGGGAGTCCAGAAAACAGAGAGATGGACAGGAAGAAGGAGAGAGAGACTTTGATTGAGTGTAGTGTGGTCCTTTTTGGTTTGGACCCAAAGAGAGACACTCTCTTTCTGAGACTCTGGCAATGAGAAAAGGTGAGTTAGTTGTTTTTAAACTTCTATGAGCTAGGTTTCCATCTTCCAGCCTCTGACTCCCATGTGTTTATTGATAAATAGAATGATAAAGATTTAGTGAAAAACTACATTTGGTACTTTGGTAGTGGGGCAAGAGGTAGACCAGGCAAAATGTGAAGGTCCTAGAAGTACACTGCCTGAGAAGTGGGCAAGGACTGCAGAGCAGCAGGTACTGGCTGTGCCAGCAGAAGAAAAACAATAAAACCGTTGTGATGCCAATGCAGTTGACTAGAGAATGCACAGCATTTGAGTCCTGTATACCACTGCTTATATCTGGACTAGTACCAGCCAAGCAGCCACCAGCTGACAGGGAAGTATCACACTGACTGCATAGACTAAAACAAACACTAAAACCCCCATAGTCAAGAGCAACGGGGACTTGAACCGGAGGAAACACTAAATTTGGCTCCGTAATCAAGAGCAGAGGACTTGAACCTGAGGAAATGAACCTAATTCCCAGTACCTACAAGGCAACTCACAACTGTCTGTAACTCCAGCCCTGGAGGATCCTACTCCCTCTTCTGGCCTCCATAGGCACAGCATACATAAATGGAGGGGAAAACACCTACACACACAGAATTCAATGAGACAGAAACATATAAAGAGAAAGAAATACTAAACCAGCAGCAAAAATTCCTACTCTTATAGAACACTGTCTACAGTCTCTTGGGTTTTATAGCTCTAGTTTTGACAGGGTCTCTCTTCTAACAGCCTGAAAATCTGCTATGGAGTTCAGGCTGGCCTAGAACTCAGTTCACCTTGGCTAGGATTCAAGATGTGGGCCACCACGCCTAGCCTAGGATCCTATCTTAATGAAAGCCTATCTCACGCCAAAAGACAAAAAAACAAAGAATGTTTTTAGTCTTCAGAGACAATAAACTGATAACTTACACACAGAGACGGAACTGGCTATATGTGGTCAACTGTTGTATTGCAAAATGGGTGCGCAGGAGTAATTGGACTATTGTGATTATCTAAATTATCTCCATAATAATACATTTCTCAGTTTTGCTCCCCTAAACTAGACTCTGGAGTTAACATTTTTGGTTTCAAATTCTGACTCAGCCCCTTACCAGGCAATTATTTTGATGTTATTTTCCAATTTGTACTAACAACCACCAAACACAGGGCAAAGGGAAATTTGAAATAAAAATGTAAAGCAATTAGAATAGAGCTAGCATCTAATATGTATGTTTCCATCAGTGGTACAGTGCAGGCTTAGTTTGTGGAATTCCCTGAGTTCAATTCCCACCACTGAAGAACTAAAAGAAACAAAAGCTCATCTCTTGGTAGTGATAATTAAGTATATTATTTGTACAGTTACTGTGAGTTTTAACTGTCCAAGATATCTAATCTAGTAACAGCATTATACTATAAAAATAAAGATCTGCAAAGAAGGAGTTGGAAATAAGAAATTAATCCACACGTTTTGGTGACATGACTTTTAAAATATTTCCTTTATATATTGATTTATGATGTACTTATTCTTAAAGAAACAGCTTACCTTATCTTTGATTTTGTCAGCTCTGGCATCCAAAGGCTGATTTTTGCTTTGTTCCTGATGACATTTAAGGTTTCCTCCACCTGAGCTTGTGCTTTGATTCTGTCCCATGGAACTTGAAGCGGGAGTGGATAGTACAGACGTACTGACACCAAGGACAGAGGATGATGCACTGTTGCCATTAACTGACCCATTTATACCTTGGAAAGAAGCATATTTATATAATGGAACATTATTTGACCAGAACAAGGAATGAAGAGCTTGTGCATGTGTAATGTAGATGGAGACCACAAACACGGCACATAAAAAAGGTGCTAAAAGACACATGACTCTACATGAAAGATTCATAATACATACTATAGAGACGAGGTAAAACAACAGTTGTGATGGGTCAGAGAGGAGTGATTACTTAAAGGGCATAGTATTATTGAAGATTAAAAATTTTAGAGTATCATAGTGGGTGACTATCATGCAACATTATGAGCATATTAAATTCAACTGAATTATTTACTAGCATTAAACTGTGTGACTATCACTCAAACAAACATGTTTAGAAAATAAGTTACATATAAGTATTGTTCTTTCAGAAACACTCAAAAGAGCGATGGGCAGGGCTAGAGAGATGTCTCAACGTTTAAAAACACAGGCAACACTTCCAGAGGAGCTGGGTTAAATTCCAAGACCCACACAGCAGCTCACAACTGTAACTCCAGTCCCTGAATACTAAACACTCTCATACAGACACACATGCAGGTAAAACACCAATGCACATTTAAGAAAGAAAAGCAGTGGACTACCTAAAACATTGTAACTTCTAAACACTATCATAATAACACTTAGAAACTATATAAATGCATTTAAAAGAGTAACACAGACGTAGGGTACTAGCTTGGACTATATCTGAGTTAAGAAAAAGCGGCATTCTATCAAGTTCAGTGTAAGGAGATAAGGACATACAGAGGCAAGTAGAGTTGGGTTTAGATCCTGGCTAAATCACATGGTGTATAAGCAATACTTCCTAGCACAACTATTAACCTTGGCTGAAACTCAGGAGATGTGTACTCTGAAAACCTAATTCTAAGGGATGATGATGTAGGAGCATCTAGCACAAGGCTGTAAAAATGTTTTTAGAAACAAACTCTGCAGCAAAAGGCATCAGGCAGAGGTTTCTGGTCCCTCGCTCGTGCTGAAATGAGTACCTTTCTCAGAACCATTTCGATTACTCTTTCCAGAAGTCCTCGAATGGAATGAAGAGTCGTGATTCTGGGCTGGAGGAGCAAACAGTGGTGGAATTCCCAGTAATGGTGGGAAGAAGGGCGCTCCTGCACGAGTATGAATGTCTGTGGCTCGCCACCATTCCGCACCTCAAAAACAAAAGGAAACTGAATTACCTTTCAAAACCATGCATGGACCATTTCCAACATTTTATTGAGAAACAACGTTCCTGGGATAGAACTACTCAAGGCACATAGTTTTGATCATTTTTTTCACTGTAAACAGGTAATTTGAACTTATATAATCCTCTCTTATTATTAGGTCATTATTCAAAAATATTCCATTAACACTTTTCTAGATTCAAGCTAAAAAAGAATACATTGTTCATAATTTAAAAACTGCTAAAACTTACAATTTAAAAAGAACCATTTGGCTTGATAATCTATACCATCTACTTACTAAGCCAAAAAGAAAAAGAATGAAGTCAATATTAATCTATTTCAAGACTTTAAATTTGAAGCTCACGCCTGCAGCCTCTTAAGATTTTTCACCAATTATATGCAATATAAATCTGGCTTGGACAAATCTGGTGGGTCAGATGAGAATCTCAAATGCATTCACGGATTAAGTAAATCTGTAGACCCCCCCCCAAAAGAAAACTTATTAGCGTTTTTGGTTTTATAATAACAAATAATCAGTCCTCAAACAAAATTTACAAAACAATTTTTCATTAAAAAATGTTATGCATAAGCAAAGTAGTGGTGGTGCATCTTTAACCTCAGCACTCAGGAGGCAGAAGCAGGTGGTTCTCTGAGTTTGAGGTCAGCCTGATCTACAAAGTGAGTTCCAGGACAGCCAAGGCTACACAGAGAAACATTTTCTCAAAAACAAACAAACAAAGGCTTATAAAACTTCTACCTTTAAAATTTATAAGGAAATGAGTTTTCCTTTACACTGTTCATAAATTATAGATGACAGTCATTTTTAAAATTCATATCAAACAACTAAATTTGAGAAAATCATGGAATGCAATTCAGATATTCAAACAGAAGTTCTTCATTAAATCTCTTGGGGGGAAAACCAATTTTTATGAAATACGTTTTATTCTAGGAAGAGTAAAGATTAAAAAGAGCTTTGGAAATTATCCTAAGAACGGTCTTCAACTGCCCCCATCACATCCTAGAAACAATCTCCAACTGGATAATCCACTAAACCTCACAGTCTCCTAAACAATGGCATTATTTCTTTGATTGAAATGAACACTGTGTGTGTGTGTGTGTGTGTGTGTGTTTGTGTGTGTGTGTGTGTGTGTGTGTGTGTGTGTGTGTGATGAACGGCACAGGTAAAACACTGCAAAGGCCATTGCTGAAACTGGAAAATGGAGTAGCTAGCAAATGGTACCCTGAATCCTGGTACGCTGAACCAGATAAATTCCAGTTAATCAATCAGGTACTCAACCACTGTCTAAACCACATTTAGATGGATAAAAGGAGGAGTATATTTTTGGGGAGAGGGCGATCTTATTGGCAGGGGCCCATTCCTACTGGCAGGTTTGTAACTTAGTTTCCACTTAGTTGACAAAAACAGAATGCAATTTCACAGCAATAATTGTTTCATTTAACTTCAGACCAAAGTCTAAAAGTTGGATATAAAGATTCGTAAATAACTAAGAAGTCAAGTAGTCAAAGTAGAAGGTTTTTAAATGTGATAGATATAATCAAACAACATTAAAACATACCTCAAAATGTTAATAGCAATCAAGGATACAGTAGGTATTAGAGAAAAATAATAGGAAAAATGTATGCATCCCAGAGACAAACATACAAGATCAATTAGATAAAATAAAGAAAATGGCCTTTTCTGAAGATAAATCTTTGATATTATTTAACAAGAAATTATTTTCTAATGGAAAGTTTATGTAGCTTTCAAATTGAGGAAACTGTACAAATTTAGTCACTAGCTAACTCACTTATCAAATGAAGATAGAAAACAAAAATAACATAAGTAGAAGGCACAGGATGAAAGTCTAAGGACACTACAGTGGCCACAATGGTTATTTCCAGGTGTGATGCTAGTATTTTAGAGTATACACTGAATGGCGAGCAGTAGAATGCGCTGTAGGTTTCTTGTTCTTTGTTTTTTGGCACCAGGTTTTACTGTTTAGCTCAGGCTGGCATAAAACTTGTGATCTTCCTGCCTTCCAAGATCTATAATTATAGTCGCATGTGTGCATGCCTGGCTGTGATGTGGCAAAATTTAAAAATCACTCATATATAAAAAACATCCCAAAACTTCATAGAATTATAGCATTAAAATGTAAACACAAAGAATTTTAAATATTTTAAATGAATTTCAAAAACACTACTTTAGTATAAAATGAAATTTTGATTAATATCCATAAGTTTACACTTGCTGTTTGAAATAAAAAGTTGTACATGTAAATAATCTCTAAAAATTATACTTTACTTAACATTGCTAACTTCTCCTTGTGATTTTGTTGTGTCTGTGGGAAACATCTTTCCTAATGTGGCCATTTAGTCACCCTTCTGAGCTATAGAGAATTTATATATTTAACTTATTGCACCAAAGTGTAATTTAAACAAAAGTGGTTTCTCTATCATCAGCTGTAATCTCTATCCATTTGGCAAAGAAATACATACACATATGCACGTTTTATCGTTAGTGCTTCTGCCCTACATGTATCTGTCTCTAGGAAACCACCGATTATCCCTGGTGTGTCCTGGCATGAGCAGTCTCATGCAGAGAACAACGCCGGTGAAATGGGGGAATGCCTTTTGAGGGTTCAAGAATCACACTGCTTGTTTAGGTTCTTTAATATTTTTTATTTATTTGTTGTGTGTGTTTGCATGTTCATATACATGTATGTGTAGGAATGTCACAGTAGAGGTCAGAGGGGAACTGGAGGGAATAGGTTCCGTCCTTGCATCATGTGGATCCCATATATTAAACTCAGGTCCTAAGGTTTGGCAGCAAGCACCTTTCACCACCGAACTGTCTCATTGGTCTTGGGCTAGTTTTATATACTGAAGATAACATCATTATTAAAGTACAAATAAGTTTTTGTTTGACTGTTTGTTTGTTTTTCCTGCTTTTTTTTTTTTTTTGCGGGGGGTCGAGACAGAGTTTCTCTATAGCTTTGGATCCTGTCCTGAAATTAGCTATTGTAGACCAGGCTGGCCTCGAACTCACAGATATCCCCCTGCCTCTGCCTCCCAAGTGCTGGGATTCAAGGAGTGTGCCATGAACTCCCAGCAAAACAAATGAGTTATTTTTGAATATTCATTGACCATCTAAAATAAATTACCACAAATATGAATGTACTGAAGATATAAATCAGTAACTACTTACATTGCCATTAACTATTTAGATTTTGAATCGGAAAATTTTTATTTCAGGAGACAGCTATTGATGTCTGGTACTAAACAACCATGTTAAAAGCAGAACGAAGCAGGCAGAATATTGCTCAAAAGGCAGAGGTAGGTAGATCTCAGCATGCTTGAGGGCAGCCTTATCTACACAGAGAAGTTTCAGGCGAGCTAGGGCTACATGGTGATGCATGCCTAAAACATACTTTAACAAAAAGATTTAGAAATACACACATGTCTAAAGTCCCTGTTAATATAGTAAAACAAATATTCAAACTTGGTCAACACTGACTGTTCACAAAGTTTTCCCACCCTCCCCTCTCCAAGACAATCAAATTAAGGAAAGAACGTGAGTCAACAAATAGTACTTTTCTGTTCTCTGGGTTTCAAAAGATATTTGGTTGTTTTTAAAGAAGCAGTAGATACTTTGCCTGCCATTAAAGCAGACAGGAAAAAGTGGCCATAGCTCTTCTGGACTAACTCCACATGTCCTTTGGACAGCAAACTAGACATGCTTGTCTACTGGACTCTTCAAACAGCCCTAGAAAGCAGGAATGTTACAGTTTTCAGTTTACAGGTTTGAAAATCCAGGGATGAGAAGGAGGACAGGGATTTGTCCAAGGGGAGATTTATATTTAGATCGATTTCCAGCTAGAACTCAGCTCTGCTGTTAAACCAAGCTTCCTTACTAAAACTAAACCATGCTATGTAGTGATTAATGTGAAATTTGGACTTTCAATAACATTTACGCAAATTCAGCTACTGTGTGACCACAGTCAACAGAATTCCATGTCACGTTGGCCCTTACCAGGCACATAAGATAACTGCCTAACTGCTGGGGAAACATGTATTCCAAACATGCTTTGGAAAGTTTTCAAAAAGGAAAAAGTATAGATATTTAAGAGTCTGCCTCAACTTCCCAACAAAGTAGAGAAAAATAAAAAGGTAAAATAGTTGTCAGAAAAGCGAGACTCTACCTTCAGGTTCTAGGATAATTTTTCCCAGGGCTGGGTGTCTCACCCAGGGTCTCATATATGGAAGACAAGTGCTCTGTCACAGCGCACATTTCAAGTCAGGTTAAATACTTGATTTAAATATTGTCGGTAAAGCACTTGCCACAATAGCATGAAGAACAGACAGCAATCCTATGTAGCAAGTGTAAAAAGCCAAGCACACATCTGGAAACAGAAACCTGGAGCTGAAGAGCTCCAAGTGCAGTGAAACAGCCCGGTCTCAAAAATTAAGGAGTAGAGTGATTGAGGAGGACACCTGACTTCAACCTCTGGAATTCCACAAATATATTCCCACATGTGCACTCAGCATATATACATAATATACATTAACATATACACACACACGCATACACACACACACACACACCCTTCCCCCCAAAAAAACCAAAGCTGTAAAGAATTAGAACTGTACACTCACATTTTTATACATACAATACTTTGGTAAAATATACCAGAAACACTTGCCTTAAATATTCTGTGTTTGTTATGTAGGTAAACACCTAAATACCGAATTAACTGTGGCATCCCAACACACATAGTGACTGTATTTTGCTATATAGAATAAAACTGAGCCAACTCTTGCCCATGAATCTAATACACTATGCTTTGCTGTTCAGTTTAATAACAAATGCCTGTCTGATCATTTGCAGGCCTTGCTCCTTTCCTTTGACACGATAGCAGATGTTTACCTGGAAAAGATGTTAGTTGGGGATGTGCGGCTAAGGCTGTGGGTGTACCAAGTGTCCCCAAACCACCAAATTCTGAATGCCCTGAGCTGGCTGAATGTAGACCAAAGACTGGGTGGCTGACCATTGGGAAGGCACTCGACACTGTGGACAGGTTAAACGGCTGATCCCCAGCTGGTCTGAATAAATGTCCTGGGAGGGGAAAAAAACACACTTAAAGTTGTTTAGATAAAACAGATGAGTTTTACCTGATTTCAGCACTCATGATGCTTACAACATAATTTATCTATTAAATTTAATTTTCTAATTTCTTTAATAACACAAAAGCATTGTGAAATTAATTGTGAATTTCAGATTAGGTCTCACATCTGACCTGAGGAAATGAAACTGACGTTTTGTCAAAACATGTGCATTGGGTTAATATCACATTCTTTCATTCTTGAGTAAAAAAAATCCCATGATTCTAACCCTGAAAACCAATGAAGCAAATCCCAACTCTATTCAACATTCAAATGATCATACTCAATGCAAAGAGACGTGGTTTTCAAGTGCACAGTCAAAGCTCCATTCCCTGTCTAACATTTTGTTGAGAAAAGCATCCTGATTCCCAAAAGGCAGCTTATGCCACTGAAGTCAAATACTGCCAAAGACAGCACAATTAATACACTTACTATGGCATTTCTAGATGGATTCTCAAATACATCTTGTCAGAACAAGAAGAAAAATCTTTCTGTACTTACAACAAATAATTAGGACATTTTGGCTGCCTACTATGAAAAGAGAATATTATTCTAGTCTGAAATATTAAGAAAATAGCTCAGTATACTAGTCTGTTTAAAGAATTTACTTTGAATGGCAGGGCAGGCTTTTAATGCCAGTACTCAGGAGGCAGATGTAGGAAGATCTCCATGAGCGGAGGTCTGTGAGGGAGTTCCAGGTCAGCCGGGAAGACACAATGAGACCTACTTCGTCTATGAATGGAGTGGTGGGCAACTGTAACCCAGAACTCAGAAGGTTCTAGGCCAGTCTGGGCTCCATAAGGTCAAGTGCAGCCTGGGCTAATTAGTGAAACTGACTTAAAAACAAATGAACAAGGACTGGGGATGTAGATACTGTTTAACAGTAAGCAAGGGCCTACCCTAGGTACTTCTGAGGGGGAAAGGTGCGCAACTCTGTGAATACACCTGTAGTCCAGTGTTTAAGCAGAGTAGGAGTCATATGGTATCTCTGGGTCTAGGTCAACTATGACTATGGGTGACAGTTTCATTAGTTTTACTCAGTAGGTCTGAAGTAAATGAAAAAGTAAGTCGTAAATGAGAATACCTTTGCTTTTCACTTAGCTGTCTATCAAATGTTAACTGTTTGTCTGGTCCTAAAGAAAACAAGACCTATAGCCCTCCATAGACTGATAAAAACCTTATGCTTTTAAATGAAATAATGTGAATATTTTCATTAAAATGAGTTGTACAAGTATATCTTCCTTGTGTGCACATTCTCATCAACCAATCTGGTTTTGTTCTTTAAAGCCAGAACAGAAAATTAATGAATTTTTTAAAATCTGAATGTACTTTTGAATTATTACAGATTCTAGATATTACCCTTGAAGCTGAGCTAAAACAGGGAGAAATACAGTTATCACCATCACTGGTTCTTATCAAATAAACCAACTTCTCGATTCAGTTGTATTTGACAACATATAATTGCTGTATTTCCTTCTCTGCACGTTGCTAACAAATGAGGCAAACTAGTAGTCATTTTTTATTTGCATATTTCCATGTGTGCATTTGTCCATGTATATGTGTGTCTGAGTGTGTGTGTGAGCATGCGGATGCTGGAGGACACCTTGGTGTTGATCTCAGGTACTGTCCACCTTTTCCTTTGAGACAGTATCTCTCACTGGTCTACCACTCATTGAACAGACTGGCTGGCCAGCAAGCCTCAGGGACCCACTTGTCTCCATTTCCCAGGACTGGGATTATACATATAAACAAACATACTAAGTTGTTGGTTTGAAACTTTTCCTTTTCTACTTGAGTTCAGAAGCTGAAATTTGTGTCCTTTGCTGCCAGCACTTTACTCACAGAGCTATCTCCCAAGCTCCATTTCATTCATACTTTTAAAAAGAAGTACTATTCAATTGTACTTGCCAACTATATGTATGTAGTCATGGCTTAATGAAAAAAAAAATATGAGCCGGCAGTGGTGGTGCACACCTGTAATCCCATCACTCGGGAGGCAGAGGCAGGTGAATCTCTGTGAGTTTGAGGCCGGCCTGATCTACAAGAGCTAGTTCCAGGATAGGCTCCAAAGCTACAGAGAAACCCTGTTGGGGGTAAAAAATAAAATAAAAAAAAATCTACACAAAATATTACAAAAATTGGAAAGCTCTGAAATTAGTGATGGTTGAAACAATTCAATGAGAACTAATGAGTTAGCAGTAAAAAACATTCAGAAATACATAATTAAACATGAAGAAGCAAGAGTTAAATCTGAAGAGTCTCTATGGGCAGAAAACGTAAAATACCTGAGTGCTTATTACTCCTGTAGCAACAATTAAAAATCAGCAAGGTATCTGATCACAATAAAGATTTTTGAACCATAAAACAGTGATGTCTAAGAAGAACCTGAAGGTGTGATATTTTAGTGGGTTTTTTTTTCTTCCTACAGATACACGCCTTCTTAAGGATCTGACAAAGCTCGTTCCCTTCCCTGCCTCTACTCTACCATGGCTGTAACATCTCAGTGCATGTGGTTTTTATGCCAGGGCCTGGGTTCCATGACAACAGAAACTGAATCTCCCTGTACTAGGACCCTACATTTCTGGATAATCTGAACACAACAGGAAGTTGCTGTATATTTGTGTCACACTCTTCATACTGTGACTAGGACACAAAATTATGAAAGAAAAGTCTGTCTTAAATACCCACTGTAGGAAACATCAAAAGGATTTTCATTCTTTTGCCTTTTAAAAGGCTAAAATAATCAAGAGTCATTCTTTAAACAACTAAAAATATAACACCTTTTCAACCCCTCATCCTGTAAATGTTTACCACCTTTTTCTCTGCTCTAACTGCAAAATAAATCACTAAACTTCAATTAATCATTATAGAAGCTAATTCAATAATATCTGTGTTATAGTTTTAGTCTTTTTACACAGTAAAAATACTGTTAGGGTACACCCTTGTTCCCATGGAACTATCTACTGTCTTAAAATGTGAAGTTACTGCTCACAGGGAATTATTTTTCTCATTTGTGTGTTGCTGTAGAGTGTGTATGTGTGTGTATGTTGTATGCACACATGTGTACGGCTGGGTACACATGCATGTGTATACTCAACATTGAGTGTTTTTCTATATCACTTTCCAACATAATTTTTGAGACAAGTTCTCTCATTGAAGCGAGAACTCTACGATTGGCCCTGGCCTGGTGGTCAGTGAACTCTTGCACTCCCCGCATGAGGACTGTGTTACCATGTCTATTTTTTGTTAAATGGGGGACAGCGAGACCAACTACGGTTCTCACACTCCTCAAACATCTCCCCAGGCCTCCATGGAAATTTTAAATTGATCGTAGACTAGGGATGGCATGATGGCTGCTAGTATCATCAATAAGCAATTAAAACAGTAAATCACATTTAAAATAAAGCTTGTTCTGTATTATCCAGAGAGCAAGGTTGAAACAAAACCTAAATCAAATAGGATCTATTAGTTTCCTAAATATAAAACAAGATTATTTGAATATTACAAAGTTCTACTTTTGGAACAGCAAATTCTTCTTACATTAATATACCTAATGTCAACATATGCTCCCAAATAAAACTATCTTGATTAAAAATAAGTTTTCTCAAAGAAAAATCTGTAAACTTAGATAACTAAGGCAATATTGTTTCCTTTAACTGGAAGATGTTCAGTCTCCATTATGAATGCAAACTTTACTTCAGCTTCTGCTTTAACTGATGATGGGAAACCACGGATAACCGAGATAATGAACATTTGTCTGCAATGGCAAGGTTAAGATTCTCAAATGACAGGCTTGAAACTTTTTCAAGTCTACTTGGGAGGCAAAAGCCACTGTGTCAGTCATGAGGAATGAGAATTATGAGCACCTCTGTCAATCTCAATGAAAACTATCCCCTGTGAATGAAGCAAATAACAATTCACATAAAGAACTGAAGCCCTGGAACTGAAACAGGAACAAACCAAACCAAAGATACCATATAAGCTGATGTTCTGTGTGCAAGAAATGTTCTAAACTTCAATGCTACACAAATTTGCTGCGCCAAATCTTCAGTGCTTTAAAACTGCCAACATGATTTTATACCACTGCAAATCTAGTCTCTAGTTTGTAATCTGTACAGTATGGCTATCATTAAAAAAAAAAAGGCAGTCCATTTGAATACAGATGTTAAATAACAATGGAGTGTGCTATAAACTGAATAATTATCAATTAACATGTGAAAGTCCTAACATATCAGTGTTTAATATTTTGAAACTCAAATGAGCAATGTATAAAACTGAACTTAATTAGCAAAAAGAATGCTATAGTTAATGTGGGTAGAATATTTCTCCTCAAATCTTCATTTCACTCCTTTATCTTCTTATTTAGAGCCATTTAAGCTTTATGTTTAATATTTAGAAAAATATATGGAATGCAAACAAATTTAGTCATTTATTTGTTTTTCAGCATTTACAGGGTCTTTCTGTATAGCCATGGCTGTCCTGGAAATCATCCTGTAGACCAGGCTGGCCTCAAACTCAGAGATCTACCTGCCTCTGCCTCCCTTGTACACACAGGCTAGCCTCAAGCTCACTATATGGCTTACATTGGCATTGGACTTGATGACTTTCTGTTTCTGTGTCTCAATGCTACGATTGCAGGTATGCACAAGTAACCTATCTTATTTTTATATTTCAAGTAGTTGAGATTATATTTACAAACATTGCAAAAGTAACAGCAAGTTCTTATACATGCTTCTCTAGTCTAGTCCCACTAATGCTAACATCGTACAAGTCCATACACTTCAAAGCCAAATTACCCTCAATTAGGCAAAAAAAAAAAAAAAATTATTAGCCTAAATCAAATTTCTCACTAACACCATTCTTTGTCCCAAGATTCCAAATCCCATATTACATTGAATTTTGTGCTCTAATTTTCTTCAGTCTGCTACAATTTCTGTTTTTTGTTTGATGATG